GAAGTCTCATTACTGGAAATGAACAACTGTTGATCCCCTCTCTGGTAACATAGATGTGTTTCAATTGGAGTGCCCCTCACAGGGCTCGCACATGGTTTTTGAACAAGGATAATAACAACAACGGCTCCCGCCTGACACGTCGTCTCGATGTACTGGGGAATCGCGTTATCGCTGGGGACTTCCTTGCAATGTCTCCAAGAATCGCGCTCTCGCCTGTGACTGCCTCACAATTCATTCAGGCGCCACGCCCTCGCCATTCAGGAATCGCGCTCTCCCCTGGGACTTCCTCATAATTTACTTACGAATCGCGCTCTCGCCCGAAACTTCCTGGCGAATAAGCAGGACTCACGCATTCGCGTAACATACGTTTTTGTTTCATTGAAGTGCCCCTACCGGGACTCGCTGTTTTTTTACAAAATCTTCCTGCTCAAATTATGCCCCTGGCCCCCAGCTTACTGCAACGACGGCTCCCGCCTGAAACCTCCTTGCAATGTATCGAAGAATCGCGCTCTCGCTAAGGACTTCCTTGCAATGCATCGAAGAATCGCGCTCTCGCCAGCACTTCCTCGCAATGTATTGAGGAGTCGCGCTTTCGAAACTCAGAAATCGCGCTGTCGCTTGGGACCTTCTCGCTATTGATTCTGGCGCTGCGCCCTCGGCACTCAGGAATCACGTTCTCGCTCTGGATTTCCTCACGAGATTTATGTTGGCATCGCGATGTCGCTCAAGGCTTCCTCGCGATTTATGCCAGACGCATGCTTCAGCAACCCGCTTGCTCGATATGGCCGCCTGGGCCCGCCTGTTAAGGTCTACCTGCCCGATCTGCTTGTCTGGTTCTGCCACGTGCTTTCTGCTCCCAGGCCCCCTTTCCTGCTAATTACTCTCTCTCATGCTCCATCCTCCTCTCTCCCCAGTGTCCTTTCCTTCCATCCGTCCTCGCCTCCACTGTTCCCCTGCCTGAAGTGCTTGCCGCACGAAACACACGTTGCTGGTAAGAAAAAGATACCCTCAAAGAGATACGATCGAAGACGAAGAGGGCGGTATCGAGGGTTTGGGATATACATGTTGAGTGGCACGCGAGCGATAAGAGCGAATAGTCATAAAATGAGTGCTGTTGTTGGTGGCGTTGTTGTTGTCGCTGTTGTTGTAAACGTGATAGAATGTCATTTACTTAACATTTATTATTGTTGGACCCCCCCAGGCGCCTTGGCGCTCTCGCCTCGGCGCCGGCAACACTGTCATTGAACATGAGGCTCACGCTCGAGCGGTTTGTGGGGGCGCCAACACCAGCCCCCCAACAACAACAACGCTCACGCTCGAGACTTCCTCCTTTGTTACCTCCCGTTTTACCTTGCACTGGCGCGCTACTCTTTCTCTCAGCGGCGCCGCCCCCAACAACAACAACGCTTCCACTCGAAACTTCCTCCCTTTTTTTCAAAACCTATGAAAACCACCGTCCTGAAAAAGCAGCGCTCCCGCCCCAGAGTTCCTCCCGTTTTACGCTGGACTGGCGCCTCACTCTCTTTTGAGTTGGCGCCGCTCCCAACAAGAACAACGCTCCCGCTCGAGGATTCCTCCCTTGCTCCTCGCCGCCGACAGCCCCCGTCCCGACAAAACCACGACTCCCGCTCGAGACTTCCTCCCTGCTTACTCAAGGCGGTGTTCCTCCTCGCCGCCGACAGCCGCCGTCCCAACGCGCTCCCGCTCGAGACTTCGTTCTGCTTTACGCTGGACTAGCGCCCTACTCTCTTCAGCATTGGCGCCGCTCCCAGCAACAACAGCGGCCCTGCTCGAGACCCCCCCCACTTTCTATTCAGGGCCAGGTCCTTGCCTCGCCGCCGACAGCCCCCATTCGCACCAAGGCAATCCTGTCGCTCGATACTTCCTTGTGCTTTACCCTTGGCTGGGGCTCCACTGGCGGTCTCGCATCGGCGCAGCAAAAGGCGTGGGCATGCGTTTTCGAGGCGGGATATGGTGAAATTCCTCCGAGGAGGTGTTTGCAAGACCTCATTGGGCGGGAGATCTGGGAATGGGAATAACGGACCCCGCTATAGAACAAGAGCCCCCCATGGTGGGGATGGCTATCATGATGGGCGCATGCTTCGTGTGGAAACATCGCGCATGAGGGTGACATGATTGTTGTTGTTGTTGCTATTGTTGTTGTTGTGGCTGTTGTTGTTGCTGTTGGTAGTGCGATTGCTATTGTTGCTCTTGTGGCTGTTGAATTCTCATTTCTGATGAGTAATTATTGTTGATCCCCCTCTCCCCGGTGCATACTGCTGTTTCTCCATCATAGTGTGCCCCTCGACGCTCGCACCCTGTTTTTTGACAAGGAACGTCTTGGTGCTCAAACTGTGCCCCTGGCCCCCCGGACTACAACAACAACGGCTCCCGCCTGAGAGCTCCTCCCAACTTTACTCAGGACCCCCTCCTCCAGTCTGAGACTTCCTCCCAATTTACTCAGGAACAGCGCTCCCGCCTGAGACTTCCTCACAATTTAGTCCAAGTCAAACTGCGTTGTTGCTCACCGGGATTACAACCAACAACGGCTCCCGCCTCAGGCTTCCTCACAATCGATTGAAGAATCGTGCTCTCGCTTTAGACTTCCTGGCAATTTGCCCCCGAACCGCGGCTCCCGCCTGATACTTCCTGACAATTTATTATAGAATCGCGTTGTCGTTTGGGACTTCCTCGCAACTTACCACCGAACCGCTTCGCTTGATATTTCCTCACAATTTATCCAGATGCTGGTCTTCGACACTCAGGAATCAGGCCCCTGCTACATACTGCCCTGTGGTTCAAGCAGGACTCACGCTTCAACGAACCGCTCGCTCGACCCGCCCGTCGGGGCCTGCCCGCCCGACCAGCCCGTTAATGACTGCAGTCGCCGCTCGCTGCCTGTCGCCCGCCTTCGATGCCCCTCGCTGCGCGTACTGGTTCCGCGGTCGCCTTCGCTCACTGCCCTTCGTGTCCCCGTTGCTGGCCCCGTCGCTGCCCTTTGTGGCCCCCGCATTATATGCCCTTGGTGGTCCCCGCTCGCACGCGCCCGTCGTGGGCCCATACGCATGCCCTTCGTAGCCCCACTGTCGCCCTTCGTGGCCCCCTCGCTGCCATTCGTGGCCCCTTTGCTGCCCTCAGTGGCTCCACTGTCGCCCCTTTTGGCCCCGTATACGAATGCCCTTCGTGGCCCCCGCTCGCTCCCGCCGTGGCAGCATATGCATGCCCTTCGTGGCCCCGCTGTCGCCCTTTGTGGCGCCCTCGCTGCCCTTTGTGGCCCCGGTGCTGCCCTCAGCGGCCCCGTCGCTGCCCTCTGTGGCCTCGGATTTTATGCCCTTCGTGGCCCACGCTGGCATTTCTCACGATTTACTTGGGAATCGCGTTCTCGCTCGAGACTTCCTTGAGATTCATGCAGGACCCACGCTTCAGCAACCCGCCTGCTCGACCCCGTGTTTGGGCCCACCTTCCCGACCTGCCCGCTATGGGTCTGCCCACCCGATCTGCCCGTCTGGTTGTACCACTTGTTTTCTGCTCCTTGCCCCCCTCCGGCTAAATTCTCTCGTGCTCCATTCTTCTCACTCCCCCTTCCACCCGTCCTCTCTTCCCTTGTTTAAGGGCCTGCACTAAATACACGCGGCAGGTAAGGAAGATATACCCCCAAGGGGGTACGATCGAAGACGACGAGGGCGGGTACCGCGGTATTGGGATATACGTATTGATTGGCACGTGAGCAGATAAGAGCGAACAGTCTTAAAATGATTGTTGTTGTTGCACTGGTTCCTGGACCTTTCCTCGGGCCTTAGAAGGCCGCAACGCCGCCAATGCGGCTCACGACGGCGCTAGACAGTCTGGGAAGAATGCCGACGGGCAACGACAGTCTGGCCCGAATGTCCCGAGGTGGCGGAACGAAGGCTCCAAGACGTCTTGAACGATTTCGGGGCGCTTTTCGAAACACCCTGTCGCCGCCAGGCAAGCCGAAGAAACTGACAAACACTTACCAATTGAATGTCGTTTTACAGCCTTGTCCTTCCGGTCCGAGATTGACCCGAAATTGTCCATGACAAACCGCCAGCGGCCCCCCAGGGACTGCGATACAGCCAAATTAGCCCCAATAGGATACCCAGATGGCCCAAGATGTGGCCTTTGCGGCACCAGAAGGGCGACCAGAGGAGCGAAGAGATTCTCAGGATACCCCAAGGCAAATCCAAACTTGTTCCAGCAACTTGCGCCACGAGGGCGCTGCGATTGGCCAAGATAAGCAACGCAGGCCTAGAAGAGGCCTCCATAAGGCCCACGAGGGCCCTCGACTCGATATAATCGAAATCCGCGGCGGAATTGAACATATGATGCAAGACCCTTGCTTTTCCAAACGAAAGCAGCTGCAACATCATCAGGCCAGCAACGCTATATAGGTAACAACGCACGGCTAATCTTGAACAAGTGCTGCATCATTTAATTGATGTTTGACTATGCGCTGATCTGTCTGGCAGTGCTACCGCGAAGCGCAGGGTACCATCTAAATTGGGGAAACAAAATCTGCCCCCACAGCCAGGAACTCAATACAGCTGCCACGCGGTCACCTCCAATGTCGCGATCTGCGAGGGCAACGTCAGTTGCCAAAAGAGCGTAGATGAAAAGGGGCAGTGCGTTGCGCGTGACGCTCTAATACACTACACACCATGTCCTGCATACGCCCATCATCTGAACGCCTTCTTCATGCAAAGATGTCAACCTAAAGTGGTACATCTTACTCGAGCGAGCTGATCATGAGATGGGAAGTGGTGGACAAACAGATTTGAGATCGAGGCCCAATGTACATAAGCATGTTTGATGCGCGCAGGCCGACACACTTGTCTTCTGGTTCTCTGCCCTCCCGTGAGACTCATTATCCCCTTTCCGATCATTACACGAGCCGTAAAATGGAATGACTACTAAGATCGCCCTGTGGCTCCACCCTGTCCAGCGCAGAAACGACTTGCCCGCTGACTCCAAACAAAGACTGCCTGCATCAGACAAGGCGAGAGCATGCCCGCAAACGGGTACTGAACCACGTCGTGCATCCGCAGCCACAGCCTCAGTCGATCGAGAAGAGCCATTCGATAACCCCGCGTTCCACCCGAGTCCCACCGGCCCTCTGGGCTGTAGTAGTTTAGGGCGTTTCCTCGTCCATCCCCCCCCTGCTCTGGAGATGCGCAAAGGTACCAATACCGCTACCCCACGGCCCTCTCCTGGGGTGCGTTCTGACCAACAGCTCGAGGCGAATCCAGCGGTGGCTCGGCCTCCCAGGAGGCCCAAACAGGGGAAAACGAGGGAAGGGCAGGGGCATGGGTACCTTTTTCCTCTCCTGAGTCAAGGGCGCGTCCTCCTCCGTTCTCCCCTGCTCTTCCCCTCCGGGGAGGGGTCCAACACAGCTCCCAATCCCCAAAAAAGCTCCCTCCCCCCCTTGCCGTCGCTCGGACGTCCATTCCCTGTGCGTGTTCGGACGTCCAGTCCCTGTGCGTTTTTCGGTTTTGTGCGTGTTTTTCTTGCTCGACGATCCAGGATGCTCTTCGATGGTCCTCGCCGAGAGAAATTGATTGCACGCGTCCGAGCGATGCCAAGCCCCCGACAGACGACAGACCCCGGGACAACGAGAGGGCACTGCCCCGTCATATCCCTACCGGGAAACACCAACAGCGGCCGCTGTTGGGCAGGCGGCCTTCTGTCTCAAATGGACACGGGCCGCGGCGGCGCGGACAGCGCGTCCTCTTCAAAGTTACCAGGACTTGCTGTTGGGCATTCTACCAACTGTTTCTATACCCATATATATGTATATATATATACACATACATACATACATACATACATACATACATACATACATACATACATACATACATACATACATACATACATACATACATACATACATACATACATACATACATATAATAGTATACACATATGTACATGCATATATGTATTTGTGTGTATATATATATATATACACATTGCGTGCCGAACAACGCGAGGGCACTGCCCCGTCAGATCCCCGCTGGGGAACAAAAACAGAGCGAAAGGGCACGGTGCAGCACAGGCCTTCACCGTGCACGGGCGCCCCGTCGGCGGCTTCTTGCACTGGAGCTTGGCAGGGGCGGCAGGGGTGCCCCCATATTGCTTGCGGATGCCACGACAATGGAGACCCTAACAGTCTTATTCTTGAACTTAAAATGTATTTACACTGTGTAAAACATGTTCTGCACATGTTTCAAACATGTTTTTATTAATGTTTAAAACACGTGCTTTTACATGTTTTAGGCATCTGGAAAGTATTTGGCAACATTGCTTGTGGATGCCACGGCACTGGACACCCTAGCAGTCCTATCCTCGAACCAGTTTTTGACACCAAAAACAGATTTAACACATATTTTAGACATCTGGAAACTATGTGGCAACATGCTCCTCTCCATTGATCGTCCTCCACAACCTTTTGCCCGCTCCGCGCCGGCCTACGAGGTCCTGTCCAGACGCAGATATGCAGAAGGCACCCTGCGGCTGAAGATCCGGAGCGCGCGCGGGCGCCCCGTGGGCCCTTTCGCACTGGCTTCTGACAAGGGCGGCGGCACGGCCCTCAAAAGGTCCGCTCGGCGCACGCCCACCGCCCCTGCCAACACGCCGCGCAGAGCACACGGCGTGGCAAACCCTCGTTCGCGCGTGCGCGCCCCGCTGTCATCTTGCATTTCTCTTGGGGCAGAGAGGGGGCGGAGGGGAGCCCTCCTATTGGCTGGTGTGTGTGCGCGATGCCTGGCCCCCCCAAACAAAAACAATACAAACCGCACTATGCGGGACATCTGGGTCATGCGCGGGCGCCCCGCGATCATTTTGCGTTGATGTATGATAGGGGCAGCGAGGGCACCCTCACATTGTCAGCTCTGTGCTTCCGACCAGACTCATGAACTCAGTGGGATCGAGACCCCAGGCTCGGATGCTGCATCGGCGTCGGGAGGGCCGGTGGGAGTGAGCGACAAAGCTTGCGGCTCAGGGTGGTTTGTTCAGTACCCCCTATTCATAAACATCCTTTCCCCCACCCGACCAGCAGCCAAACCGCACCCATGGGCGCCTTCCCCCACACCGCCCATGTCGAAAAAAACGAACTACCCATTGCCTTCAAATCTGGAGCATGCGCGGGCGCCCTGCGAGCAGTTTGGACTGTTTTGTGGCAGGGACGGCGGGGGTGCCAGCATCTGGCCTGTCGTGCCCAGGGCCACCACCCCTGCCAAAACGCAATTAAGAAAAAATTGCATTTCGACGCTAAATCTGGATAGTGCGCGGATGCCCCTGACGAAACATACTGCAACAAGTCCACACGGAGGCTAAATCTGGATCGTGTGCGGGCGCCCTGCGATCACGCGGCGTCGGTTTTTGGCATGGACGACGAGGGAACTGGCAAGTTGCATGCTGCGCGCAAGCCCACCAGACACCATGATGGCCACTCCGCTGCCATTGGTCGTTGGTTTTCGACGAGGGTGGTGGAGGCCGACATGTTTCCCGGTGTGCGCAGGCGCACCTGGCACACTCTGCGCGTGCCCAGGACGTGGCGCACCTGACGCGTCTGGAGCATGCGGCGCACTTGGCGCACACGGAGTACGCGGCACATCTGGCGCGCCAGGCGAGCCGGGCACGTTTGGACCTCAGGGGCGCCTGGTGCGCCTGGTGCGCGCGGCGCGCCTGGCGCGCGTGACGCGCCTGGCACGCATGGCGCATATCGTGCCAGCGTCGCTCACCTGGGGTCTGTACGGGTTCCAATTAGGTGTCTATCCAAAGGCGACCGCTGAATATGCTGAGATTCGGGGGCTATTTCCATGATGCGAAGGCTGGTGGGGGTGATCCAAGCAACTTGCGTCTGGGAGAAGACCCCTCCCCCTCCCCAGTGGATCTTGGCGGGACACTCGCGAGTCATCAAAACGTCCTAGATGGCTTCAGCGACAAGCCACAAAACCATGATTGTTGCATCGGCCCCGGTCCCAATTTAGTCTCCTGGAACAGACCCAAAGAAACATTTAAGGTGTCTCTGGCCCAAATAAACCCACGAGGACTCCACAAAATGCCACGCTCTTCCGTTTAGGGCAGCTCCGATCGGTTTCGTGTCTGGATGGGCTGGTGGAGATGTTTTTGGTCGCGGCCGCAAGCGAAGGCGCAGGCGGCGTCACAAGTCAGCTCGGGCTACGAGCGAAACCTAATTAACCTAGCGCGCGCACTAGCGGTTGCTGGACTACCGCCGAGGGACGTTGAGCTGCGCCGAGGGCTGAAGCCAGGGCTGCAAGAGCTGCCAGGTGTGCCAGGCGGATGAAGTGCAACCACTTCAAAGGCGAGACCACCAGGAGGGCAATCGACTTGTACCTTGTCGCGCGAGGCGCTAGAGGTAAACGTGTCACCGAGCAGGCACGGCATGGCGCGGGGCTGAGCAAACAGTCAAGCGAAACTGGGCTGGTGGGGATACTTTTTGATCGGCGGCCCGCAAGGAAAAGTCCAGAGGGCGAGTCAATCAGGCAAGCTGGGGCGCAGTGCCAGATAATTAAGCTGCCAAGCAGCAGGAGGCGCAGGCCAGTACAACGAGCCCACAGACCGACGGCTGGAGACCGCGCAGTGACCGGCCAGAGTGCACATGCAGAAGACCACTGAGCGAATGCCGGCGGAAGCCAACGAGGAGACGCCCTGACGGCGCCAGCTCGCAAGCGGAACTCCCACAAACTGTCGGCAGACTGCGCACAGGGCCAGTACCCAGCAGGTGGGGATACCTTAGATCAGCGGCCCGCAAGGAAAAGCCCTGAGGGCGAGACAATTGAGCGAACAGGAGCCAATGCCAGATAATTAATGCCAAGCGGCTGGAGGCGCAGGCCGGAGCCACGAGACTACAGCCCGACTGCTGGAACTCGCGCCGAGCTGTCCGGCCGAGTGCACATGCAAAGAACCACTGAGCGATTGCCAGCGGAAGCCAACGAGGAGTTGCCTGGTGGGGATACGCAAAGCGTTAAGAACTGTCTCAACAGGCTCTGGGAAGGACGTTTTCAATCTGTTAGACGCCTGCACGTGTTCGTCGACAAACCAAAGATTGTGGATACGAACCACAAGCGAACACAACGTTGAGGAACGCTTCGACGCCTTGAAAATTACGTCCACTTACGCGTCACACGTCGGGTGATAACCACTGCGGAGAGCAAGGTCTACTCGTCACATCTTGGCTAGAAACTGTACGGCGTTGAATATGGCACCCATCTGGTGCAGGTCACGTCAAATCGAATCGAATACGCCGTGTCCTCACGACATTTCGGCTGCAGTGCATTTGGCGTGTAAACTAACAAATTCAGCTTCTTTGCGTCTCTCCTGCTGAGTTCGCACGGGGAGGGGGAGAAGAGGGGGGACAGGCATGAATCAACGCCAGACGTGGGCGGCGATCGGATGCGTGGCGACATCCGACACTCCCCCCACCAACCATCGATTATCCCGAATCGATGGCAGGCGGGGGTCCTCCTTGAAATCAAACGTAAGTTTTTAATGTTGATCGATGCACAATTCGCGGCCCACGTAGTCAGATTTTGTGTTTGCAATCGCCAATCGAACATCGGATTATTGGGGTCCGGGGCGCCACCACGTCGTAGGGTTCGGATTTCGACACGTGTTCGACGAATTCCAAGCCCTGACCCCCGCCGCCCATCGAGTTGCCTGCACCGTTGATCGAAGAGGTAGGACATCGAACTTCGCCGCCGATCGGAGCGGCGAGGGCAGGGACGGCACAGCGACCACTGGCCCGTCTGGAGCCCCAGACCTGCCCGAAGTCGTGCGACCCCAATCGGAGCACCCCACGGAGGAGGAAAAGGAGGAGTAGGAGGAGGGACGAGGAGGAGGAGGAGGAGGAGCACGAGCAGGAGCAGGAGCAGGAGAGGGAAGAGGATGAGAAGGAGGGGGAGGAGAGGGACGAGCAGGAGGAGGAGGAGGAGGCGGAGGAGGAGGAGGAGGAGGAGGAAGGAGCGAGAGGGAGGAGACGGAGAAGAAGGAGGAGAGGATCAAGCACGAGGAAGCGAGAGGGAGAAGATAGAAAAGGAGGAGAAGGAGGAGAAGGAGATAGAGGAGGAGGAGGAGGAGAAGAAGGAGGGGTAGAAGAAGGAAGAGAAGGAGGAGGAGGAGGGGAGGAGGAGGAGGAGGAGGAGGAGGAGGAGGGAAGGAGGAGGAGGAGGGAGGGGAGAGGAGGAGGAGGAGGAGGAGGAGGAGGGGAGAGGGAGGAGGCGGAGGGAGGAGGAGGAGGGAGGAGGAGGAGGAGGAGAAGGAAGGAGGAGGGATGAGGAGGAGGAGGGAGGAGAGGAGGAGGAGGAGGAGGAGGAGGAGAGAGGGAGAGGAGGAGGGGAGGAGGAGGAGGAGGGAGGAGTGAGGAGGAGGAGGAGGAGGAGGGAGGAGGAGAGGAGGGAGGAGGAGAGGAGAGGAGGAGGAGGGAGGAGGAGGAGGAGGAGGGAGGAGGGAGGGAGGAGGAGGAGGAGGAGGAGGAGGAGGAGGAGGAGGAGGAGGAGGAGGAGGAGGAGGAGGAGGAAGAGGAGGAGGATGAGGAGGGGAGGGGGGGAGGAGGAAGGGGAGGAGGAAGAGAGGAGGAGAGGAGGAGGAGGAGGAGGAAGGAGAGGAGGAAGGGAAGAGGAGAGAGGGACGAGCAGGAGGAGGCGGAGGAGGAGGAGAGGAGGACGAGGAAATGAGGAGCAGGACGAGGAGGGAGGAGGAGGAGGTGGGAGGAGGAGGAGGAGGAGGAGGAGAGGAGGAGGAGGAGAGGAGGAGGAGGAGGAGGAGGAGGAGGAGGAGGAGGAGGAGAGGAGGAGGAGGAGGAGGAGGAAAAGGAAAAGGAAAAGGAGGAACATGAGGAGGAGGAGAAGCAGGGGGAAAAGGAGGAGAAAGAGGAGGAGGAGGAGGAGGCGGAGGAAAGGAGGAGGAGCAGGGGGAAAAGGAGGAGGAGGAGGAGGAAAAGGAGGAGGAGGAGCAGGAGGAGCAGGAGGAGGAGGAGGAGGAGAAGAAGAAGGGGAGGAGGAGGAGGAGGAGGAGACGGAGGAGGTGGAGAGGCAGGGCGAGGCGGTAGAGGGGCAGCATCCAGCTTGTTCCATCCCACCTGCCAATAAAGAGCAATCACGCTGTCGACGTTCTTCCTATCAACCTGGACGTTTTGCCGTCGATGTTTCAAAATGCATGGCAGGAGACGGACGTGGCGCCGGCGGGGGAAACGGAGGGCCGGAGGAGCAAGCATCCTGTACGACGGCGACGACGGCGATCACAACCACGACGGCTACCGCGACGGCGACGACGGCGGCGACGGAGATCTGCTCAGAATCAATCCCTCCTCTTCTTCCTCCTCCTCCTCATCATCATGATCATGCCGAGGCACGGACGGCTCTTCGCCAGAGTCTTCCCCGAAGTCGAACTGGGGCACCGCCTTTGGCATGCGGGAGCCGATCTGAGAACGAGGGGGGAGGAGAGGCGGCGAAGAATAGCACGCGTCGCCTCCTCCTGAAAACTGAGAACTGACGGCGATAGAGTCGCATTGACGCAGCCATCCCGCCTCCTATTCCTCCTCCTCCTCCTCCTTCTCATCCTTATCTTCCTGCTCGCCAGCTGCTCGTCCCGCTCCTTCACGTCTCCTGCTGCTGATTTTCCTCCTCCTTATTATCCTGCCTCTTCTCCTTCTGATTACCCACAGTCGTCCTTATCAGTATCCTCCTCCTCCACATCATCATTATCATCATCATCATCAGCAGCAGCAGCAGCATCATCATGAGCAGCAGCAGAAGCAGCAGCATCCTTATCATCATCCTCATCCTCGTCATCATCACCAGCATCACCACCATCATCATCATCATCATCATCATCATCATCATCATCATCATCATCATCATCATCATGCTCATCCTCATCATCACCATCACCATCATCAGCATCAGCATCATCATCATCAACATCATCACCATCATCATCATAGCCACCATCATCATCACCATCAGCAACATCATCATCATAATCAAGAATAGCGACAGCAACTTCATCATCACCGCCAGCTAATTGCCCTCCTCCTCCTCCTCCTCCTCCTCCTCTTCCACCTCCCTCCCTCCCTGTTCCCCGCACTCCTCATCGCGCTCCCTCTCCGCAATTTTCTCCCTCCCTCGTCCCTTTCCTCTCTCCTCCGCATGCCTCCCCTCTCCTCCTCTCCCTCCTTGCACAACCCCCTTCTCCTTCATCCGCGCGAGCCTCCGCATTTATCCTTCCTCCCTCCTCCACCTTCCCTGCTACGGGACCGACTCACCAGAATTAGGTCGGGCATGTCCTCCTACAGGCGGATTTTGAGGAGAAATAAACAGTAGTCAAACCATAATCCAAACATGCAAAAAAAGTTGAGCAATCGTCCCCTGACTATGCTTCACTACTCTTGAATGTTCCTCCCATCGAGGGACATGCCCGACTTGACACTAGAGCCTCCCTTGGCGTGGCTTCCGCAGGCCCCATCGCGGGCCCGTGGGCCGAGAGGCTGTCTCGTGCAACCTGCGCGTCGGGGCCAACTGGTGGCTAGCAGGGGGTCGGAGGGAAGGAGATGTACACGTCGGTTGGATGAAGTAGGTAAAAACATGAAGTAGGAAGACGGATTAAGTTGATTGGGTCCAGGCCCCCCCCAGGGAATAACGAAACACGGCAAGAGCTTGCCGATTCTTGAAGTAGGAAGGCGCTTGAAGTAGATTGGAATCTGGGAATCCAAAAATACCTACTTTCAACGACCGGCGTGTAGCCACGAACGGAAGGGAAGATTCGGCCCACCAGGAAAGAGCAGAGCGACCGGCACGGGAGCGCGCCGACACACACCTCGCCACGAGCGCAGCGCAGCCGAGACGTCAGAGCGTCGGGGTCGTGCGCATCGCCAGGCCAGCGTGCGTAGAGCCGCCTGGTGGTTGCCAGCGCTGCCAGCACAGAATCCCCCCGGCACGACACGAAAAACTGCAGAGACACTGCGGGGGCAGAGGAGGGACGACCGGAAAGGGATCCAGTCGGACCTAGGACGGAATGGCATCCTCCAAGAACTTGACACCCTCCACAGGCCAAGTCGAAAAGCATTCGAGGGTACCCTCCCCCAGGATGCACAAGAACATCCAACTGACGCACAGAAAATTGGGGTACACCCTCCCTGGACCGACCTCGATGCTATACCTCGTCCGACCGTACACGTCGTTCATTTCTAGTCGTGCTCATTCCTAGGTGTGTTCGTTTCTCATTGTTCATGGCCCCCGAGTGGCCAGGAAGAGGCCCAGGATAGAAGAATCAGAAAGGAAAGGATCGTGGCCCCCCGACAAAAATCAAAGGGCTTTCGAAGACTTAGAGAAATGAACCATGTGTTTGGTCAGAGGGGCAGGCTTGCAAGACGGCATATGCGCCTCTGGAAGGCCTGGGCAGGGCACGGCCTCCGGATGGGGCTCGTCACGTCGACCACGTCCCCCCCTCCCGCCCTCTTAGCAGGCGGCCCGCCCAGCCCTGGCCCCCGCTGCCCGCCGCCCGGGAGGGGGGGGCACGAGGAGCGGGAGCAGCTGCCAGACCCCCTCCTCCTCCTCCTCCTCCTCCTCCTCCTCCTCCTCCTCCTCCTCCTCCTCCTCCTCCTCCGCCTCATGTGAAGGGGCCCAGGGACACACAACCCTGGCGACGTACCCAACCCCTGCGCAATGCGGGGCATGAGTAGCTCGGGAGACGTTATACGGAGGTGATGACGTGACATGGGCGCATATACTTCTGCGAGCGGCATTCGTGAGGCTCGCAACCCCCCAAGGATTGCGATGTCTCGCTCAGATCTGCCTGGTGTCTCGCTCCGCTGAACCCGCCCGCAGCCCTCGAACGTGGGGACAGTTTCGCAGATCGCAGCCCCCCAAGGACGGCGAGGTCCCGCTCAGATCTGCGTGGCGCCTGACTCCGCAGGACCCACCAGCAGCCCTCGAAAGTGGGGACAATTTCGCAGATCGCAGCCCCCCAGGCACGGCGAGGTCCCGCTCAGATCTGCGCAGTGCCTCACTCCGCTGGACCCACCAGCAGCCTTCGACAGAGGCGAGAGTTTCGCAGATCGCTATGCTGGCCCCCCACGCAAACCTCGCAAGTTGCGACGGTTTCGCAGATCGCAGCTCCCCAGGGACGGCGAGGTCCCGCTCAGATCTGCGCGGTGCCTCACTCCGCTGGACCCCCAGCAGCCCTCGAAAGTGGCGACAGTTTCACAGATCGCAGCTCCCCAGGGACGGCGAGGTCCCGCTCAGATCTGCGCGGTGCCTCACTCCGCTGGACCCACCAGCAGCCCTCCAAAGTGGCGACAAATTCGCAGATCGCAACCCGCCAGGGACGGCGAGGTCCCGCTCAGATCTGCGCGGTGCCTCACTCCGAAGGACCCACCAGCAGCCCTCGAAAGGGCGACAGTTTCGCAGATCGCAGCACCCCAAGCACGGCGAGGTCCCGCTCAGATCTGCGCGGTGCCTCACTCCGCAGGACCCACCAGCAGCCCTCGAAAGTAGCGACAATTTCACAGATCGCAGCCCCCCAGGCACGGCGAGGTCCCGCTCAGATCTGCGCGGTGTCTCACTGCGCTGGACCCACCAGCAGCCCTCGAAAGCGGTGACAATTTCGCAGATCGCAACCCGCCAGGGACGGCGAGGTCCCGCTCTGATCTGCGCGGTGCCTCACTCCGCAGGACCCACCAGCAGCCCTCGAAAGGGTGACAGTTTCGCAGATCGCAGAACCCCAGGCACGGTGAGGTCGAATCTGAATCTGCGTAAGACGTCCCCCGCTGGATCCCCCAGCAACCCTCGAAAGTGGCGACAGTTTCGCAGATCGCAGCCCCCCAGGGACGGCGAGGTCTCATCTCAATCTGCGTAAGACGTCACTCCGCTGGACTCCCCAGCAGCCCTCGGAAGTGGCGACCGTTTCGCAGGTCGCAGCCCCCCAGGGATGGCGAGGTCTAATCGAAGTCTGCGTGGGGCGTCACTCCGCTGGCCACCCCAGCAGCCCTCGAAAGTGGCGACAATTTCACAGATCGCAGCCCCCCAGGGATGGCGAGGTCCCGCTCTGAGTCTGCGTAGGGCGTCACTTCGCTGGACCCACCAGCAGCCCTCGAAAATGGCCACAATTTCGCAGATCGCAGCCCGCCAGGGATGGCGAGGTCTAATCTGAATCTGCGTAGGGCGTCACTCCGCTGGCCACCCCAGCAGCCCTCGAAAGTGGCGACAGGTTCACAGATCGCAGCCCCCCAGGGATGGCGAGGTCTAATCTGAATCTGCGTGGGGCGTCATTCCGCTAGACCCCCAGCAGCCTTCGAAAGTGGCGACAGTTTCACAGATCGCAGCCCCCCAGGGATGGCGAGGTCTAACCTGAGCCTGCGTAGGGCGTCACTCCGCTGGACCCCCCGCAGCCCTCAAAAATGGCGACAGTTTCACAGATCGCAGCCCCCCAGGGATGGCGAGGTCTAATCTGAGTCTGCGTAGGGCGTCACTCCGCTGGCCACTCCAGCAGCCCTCGAAAGTAGCGACGGTTTCGCAGGTCGCGGCTCCCCAGGGATGGCGAAGTCTAATCTGAGTCTGCGTGGGACGTCACTCCGCTGGCCACTCCAGCAGCCCTCGAAAGTGGCGACAGTTTCACAGATCGCAGCCCGAAGAGAGGAGGAGGGAAGAGAGGAGGAGGCGGGAGGAGGAAGACGACCCGACCGCAGTGCTCCATTCAATACGAGAACCCAACGCAGGAGGGTTGGGAATAAATGGGCACGAATCCCAAGCTTTGACTATACTGCTCCACATGTTCTGGATGTTCGCCTTCCCCCCACACACTCATCACATGTTCCATATTTCCGGGGAATCGGCGATTCTTTGTGTCTGTGTGTGGTTTGCCTTCTCCTCTTGGCGCGTGGCCACGAGCGGAAGTCCGTATCACGTCGTACTTCGCGGATTGCCGCGGCGATGAGCGCAGTCGTGCGCCTGAGGCAAAACATTAGCCTAATGAAGAACCCAACCGTATGCAATTGTGAGTCCCGCAATTGTGGGTGTCGTCTTCGGTGGCGCTCCCTACGGGGCCACGAAACGCTGTACGGGGTGGGGGGGGAACGCATGCGGGCGGTAGCGCTAGGGCCTTCGGTGGAGCTCTCTATGCGGCCACGAAGCGCTGTACTGGGCGGGTGCGAACTTTGCCACTGGGGCCTTAGGTGGAGCTCCCTCTGGGGCAACGAAACGTTGTACTGGGTGGGGAAAACGCATGTGGGGCCTTCGGTGGAAGGTCCCTTATGGGGCCACGAAGCGCTAAACTGGGGAGGGTGACGCATGCGGACGCTTCCATGGGGGCCTCCGTGGAGCTATCTACGGGGCCACGACACTCTGTACTGAGTGGGGGCGAGGAATGCGGAAAGTGCCACTGAGGCCTTGGGTGGAGATGCCT